CTTACGACCATTTTGAGTTACGTCCATCTCCTGGAACGGATTGTGGTCGTAAATCGAGGCACCACTGTATATTCCACTACTTTTTACCCTTGCTCACATTAACAGAAGCACATTTCTATCCATAAACCATTTTGGTGCATTTCTGTTTGCACTCTCTGTTTTAACTGAATTAGTACTCCCCTATCTACATGTTCAAAAGCCCACATATACCATAGAACAGCCATTTTAAACAGGACCCACAGGTGCAGCTGGCATATTTGAGGGCCACAGACTGGAAACAATTCTTCACACACCACCTTATAAGGCTTGTTGTGCAACATACAATCCTGAATTTGCCAATATTCATATTATGTTTGTGGCCATGGCCAAAGAAAAGTTGAGAATAGCTGCTCTAGCACATGGCAGGTTATAGACTGGCCCACTGAAGTTAAGAATAATACAGATTGTTAATAAAGGCTGCTTTACATTGCTAATAATCATGATCACACTTACTATGGTGTTTATAATAATGGAGGGCAGATTTTAAACTTTCAGGACCTGCTTCCCCAGTGCCCCTATGACCCAAAGATATACTTTAGCCTTTGTTAACCATTTTGTAAATAAACCTTTGCTGTTAAGTGTGAAGGGAGCTGGGGGCTTCTATTCCAACTCTGCCCTCACCACTCATAATCTTCCTGGTTTGTCAGTTTATTGCTGCAGCTAAATCAGACAGTATTAGAATTAGTTCAAGGATGTTATGTGCTGTTTCTGATTTAGCCTCATCCTGCAGATTATATTCTGTTAGATTTGTATGTTCCATTAGGTATCATACACATTTCTCATTAGTGTATGTACACATATTGTTCGTACACTACGATATGTGCATGTGAATCATGCATGTATTGTATGTATGATGAGTTATTATCATGCAGAACTGGATAATTTAGGAACTCTGGGATTAAATTCCCACAATGTAAAAGCATGGGAGAAAGAAACAACTTTAATTATAGATGTATATCTTGTGATAAAAATATTTTCAATATAAAATTTTGTACTGATTTCAATGTAATTAGTTTACATTGATCTGATAATTTATGGTAGCCAGTTTGTTTAACAGTTCAGGCCAGGAAGTTCCCTCCAGACTGCTTTGTATAAATTTATTTGGGAAAAGCTGGAAGGTAATGGAGATCCATGGAATAGTGTAGGAAGGAAATATATCTATAGGTGGGAGGGAAATATGAGTCAGAGAGAACAGGTTGGTAGTTTGGCTAAATGGCAGAGTTCTCCATCCCCCAGTTTAAGCAAACCTGCCAGAATAAATTCACATGTATCTGCAGTGCTGTGTGCTAGGAATTTGCCTTCAATGGTAATGCAGTGTTCAGTTCAAGCTGTTACTTCACTTCACTTCCACAGAAGGAATAGTGTTTCAAAACGCTCTGTATTAAATACAGTAGTTCTCCTTTTACTTCACACTTAAGAGTAGGAGTGACTTCTGCGCTTAGAAAAACAAGTGATACATTTGTGTCCATCCCAGCCAAGTGCTTGGTTTTATAAACTCTGAAAACAGAGCAGGATCAAGTGGATTTGAAAGACTGGAGAAATCCTCCTGTTCCCAAAGAAGCAGAGCTGAGGAGGAAAGAATCAGAAGAGGAGAGGATGGACAGACAGGATAAATCAGGGCTTGTTGGGCGGGGACCAAGTACCAGAATACCAGACACTGGATAGACAGCAAAAGACAAACTGAGGAGTGGGATGCATTAAGCTGTGGGGAGATTGGGCAGCAGAAGATACAGCAGGAAAAACGCTTTTAGGAGCAGAGGGAAGAGGACCAGTCCAATAAAAAACAAAGGACCAAATCAGTAGGCCAAATAGGGTCCCTCATTCCTAGATTAAACACAGGGAGGGAGCAACACCATCTCTGGGGGGGGGGGCGCGGAAACATGTAAATTAATAGTAGGTGCTGCCAGTTAACTCCAAGGCTAGCATTTTTGGCATGGGAATGCCAAAGCAGTTCAACAGTACAAGTATTTCTACTTTTGCATCTTTAAAAGTAACGCTTTGCAAGTACTTTATTTATGTTTAGTCTCTGCATGTTTTGTGATACTTAAGGCTTGAAACGCATTAAAGAAGGCACCATAAATGACTACATTTAGCTCTTAGTCATGGCCCAGGGAGATTTTTTAAATTGCTTTGTGATATTGTCCTTTTTTCTTCTTTTTTAAATCAGTACCATTGCCGTGTCTTAAGAGGTAAACCTGGAAGGTTTAAGAATAAAGAGGAGTTATTAAGACGTGACGTTCTTTCCTTAAAAAAAGTTTATTGCAAAACTCAGTATTTGGTAGCACTTCCAAATTCACTAATTACAGTACAGAACTAGCAATCCTGCTATGACCATGTTTAATCCTGGTTTTGGATCTGTTGTGCACAGACACACACACTCCTGTTCATGCTAATATGGTATCTACATATGCTCTAACTCATGCTGCAGTCAGTTATGGATGCTGTTATTTAGTACTGGAAATCTTTTTAAAAACATACAGTAGAACCTTACTAACCTGCAGGACAGCTAGATTTCCCCATAAACCCCCTATGATGGGTTTTTTTTTGGAAAGTTTAAATTCAAATTTTTCATAGCAAAAGTACTATATTTAAGTCTTATATTACTAAGACATCATTAATGTTGCAATTGCTATTATACAGCATGTTTGCTGCTTTGCTGGAATTAAAATGTTGAACAATTTATAAGATTTGCCTGTTAATAAATAAATAAATAAATAAATAGCACAGTTGTATGAACATAAGCATCATGTTTTGTTCATTTACTTGCTCATTCAGAAATGGAAAAAGCTAATCACCACTGTTTTCAGGGGTGTTGTGTCTCTTCCAGTTACTGTTGTAATTTATCAAGGTTCTACTGTACACAATAAAGTGCTGAAACTATACCAAGGACACTAAACTGCAACATGGTCTCCATAGTTTTCAGGCAGTGAGAGAAGGTGAATTGATAAAACTACTCTGATACAAGACTGCTCTTTCCTGGGTCTGAGGCATCATCATGTTCGGAACTGGAAAAAAAACTTTAGTAGAGGATAGATCGCATAAATATTCTTAATATTGCATCCCAGTATTTTGATACTAAATGTACTAGTATGCTTCACCAAATATATAGTGAGCACCTCCATTAAGGGGTGTAATCCCTAACCACATTGAAATTTTAAGGACTTCAAAGAGTGGATTCAAGTTTTTTTTTAAAAAAATTAACAGAGGTTTTAGGAATAACAGCCACAAACCAATTTGTTCTGCATATCTATGTTTGATAATACATAAACGTCTTCACAGAGCAGTTGTCATACAATGCCATTCCCACTGAAATATGGAGAAACTTCTGAATCTGTACTGTGTGTGTTCAGAACCAAAACAGACCTTTTTGTCTTCTTATTTTGTCCCCCTGAGTTGTCTGCTGACAAAAAGATGCATAAATGTGGGGCAAGTAAGCTCATGTTAACCTTGATAGCTATAAAATGTGAGTAAATAATATGTTGCCATTTTCTAGAATTCCCTTTCTTGAAATGTAATTGAAAACTGGAGGTGGTGGTAGTGGTGGAGCCAGCTGTGTTTCATTTATGCTTCCCTGGAGTCAGTGATGACATTCTTAAGTTCCGTGCTACCAAGATTAGAATGGTAGTGTTACAGTGTTTGGACCAGTTATTAGATGCCTGTGGCAGTTGTTGAATGCTCTTTTAATATTGTAAAAATGTAAACTTCTATGAATTGATACTGGAAAGCTTTGCCTTGCCCAGTTAAGTTCTCTGCTGTGATTTTTGATTTGAATTGTGCGGAATATAGTGCTAGTGAATGGAAAGTTTACCATACATTTAAGACTCCAAGACTTTGTACATTTGCCCCATGGATCATCACTGGTCATGGGCTCACAGCCCAATGGAAACTACATGAAGATAATGACTGAGGCAGCTGTTTGTACAGTTTGACCAGCCATGGGGTCATGTACAACCTTTCTATGGAGGCACCAGTGCTCACAGTCGGTGCCTCTGTCTAATTCAGGGAGAACCCTGTACACCCCCATGGAGATGGCATGGGAGACACCAAACATAAGAACAAACTTAAAAGATGCACAGATTTCCCATTTCAGTTGGTACAAAAACTGGCCCAAACCGACATAAAAAAAACACTGAAAAAGAAGATGTATTTTGAAATTTCTCTTGCCTGATTTAGGAATGCATTTAACTATAGACCCCATCAGTTGGTACAAAAACTGGCCCAAACTGACATAAAAAAACACTGAAAAAGAAGACGTATTTTGAAATTTCTCATGCCCGATTTAGGAATGCATTTAACTATAGACCCCTCATTTACTACACAAATCTTAATATAATACCTATCATGCTTGAAATTCTTACTGTATTAAGAATTAGGCAGGATCCTGCCTTCAGGGCATTACCAACTGGACTACAGTCCAGTTTCTTAGGGAATTGTACTCCAGAACAGCATTGTGTGCTTCTTCTTTTTTTAAAAGTTTGTTTCTCAACTCTGATTAATTTAGTGCAAGTGTAAGTCACAATATACTTGCATTGAACTTTAAAAAAAACAACCCTCAGGTGTTAACATGCATTGATGAAACTGGTGGAAAGTTTAAAAAAACTTTAATCCAGCCCTCAAGCACCCTTTAATAAAATAAAAATAAATACTACTTTTAAATTACACATGATAAAGACATGTTGATTTTTTTTCAACTTCTGTGAGGGGAATAAAAATCGTTTAACAGTGGAGTCCAATGCATGTCTACTCAAAAGTTTATCCCACTAGGTTCAGTAGCATTTACTCAAAGGTAGGTAGATACATGATTGCAGTCTGAAACTGTAAGAATTTTAATCTGGAGTAAAATATATTCAAGAAATACCTGAAGTAATAACTGGCCATAGAATGTGACTGGTAGCCTGCAACTTTCCAGCATTTATGAAGTTCAAGCAATTTATTATTATTATTATTATTATTATAAATGTTACTGGTAGCCTGCAACTTTCCAGCATTTAAGAAGTTCAAGCAATTTACTATTATTATTATTTTTTTTTTTAAAAAGACCTCTATTAATTCCCTGTAGGTCAGGATGGGAACTTATGGCCGTCTAAATGTTGTTTGATTTCAACACTCATCCTCCCTGTCTGTTGGTTACACTGGATGGGACTGATGGAAATTCAAGTCTAACATCACTAGAGCCAAAAGTTCTTCACTTTCTCTAAATATACTATTAAAGTTAACCACACTTCCTTCCCTGAAAATATCTAAAAAAAATTATTTCCATCTGAAATGGATTTTTTTTAAAGTTCAGAATGATTTTTTAAATCAAATCAACATTCTGTTGCTGAATGATAGAACAAAATTCTACAAGAACTTTGCAGGCAGTAAGTTTGCACATTTGATAGCTCTAGCTACATAATTGTTTTTGTCCCATAATTTGGAATTGATAGGAATATTTGGGTCTTGCTTATGTCTCCTTAGGAATACAAGAATGTGAATCACTTCATGCTGGACAGGAGTGTGCAATGGAACTTAGCATTCCAGATGTTTACAAAGTGATACATCAATCAGTATTTCTAAAAAAACTGGTAACATCTGTTCACATTTGTGATTTTGCATTCCCTTTAAACCGTTTTTTCAGAAGGTGGATCAGAGCCGACTTGCTTTCTCTGCCCCGGTCTTTAAACATGATGTACATTTTAACATTCAAGCCATGCTGTCACAACCTTTTACAGAATCCTCAGGCTTTCCAAGATCAGGCTCTATAAAGTCATCTGGTACATCTGGCAAAGGTGTCAACACTTTCTCTTGCACTGCTGGCTCCCTCTTTTTATATTGTAGCTTCTTGCAAGGCCTCACCAACGAAAGGAACACAGCAGCCAAGAGCATGCCAGCAGCACAGGAGTAGAATGCAGAACTATAGTTCTTGGTAGTATCCACTAGCACACCTGGAGTAGAAGGAGAAATATTGAATACATTAGGAGCTTTGTTTATAGACTTGCGTGTTGCCATCTTTTTGTCAGCCAACTTTAAAATCTTTCCCACTCTCTAATGTATATTTTCAGGTCTCTGTTTATAATATAAGCAGACAAATCTTTCCCAAATCCAAAAAGGGATAACAAAATTGGAACTTAGTATAAAAACAATTGAAAGTCATAAGAAGGAAAAGTATGCTAGAGCAGAATTAATGTTTCTCTTTAAACTCTTGTCATGCCATATCACTGAATTTGTAGCATATATGCATTTGCCTGTTAGGGAGAAGTTGGGATTATGTGGCAATAGATGTGGAAAATAGTACATGGACCTTTGATTTGCAGCTAAACATTCCTTATTTAGAACATGGGACTCACAGAGCGACTGAAAAGGACATCCCATTGATTTCAGTGAACTGAACTTCCAAGTAAATGTTCTCTGGATTCAGCCCAAACATCCTATGAGTTCAAGCTTGTAAACAGATTTAGGAATTGTTGCTGTGAGTTACTTCCGAACAGCCCCCAAACTCCCAACTTCCAGTAGAGAATGTTCCTCTTTAGCCAACAGTTTAATTAAAATTCATTTCAAAAGATTGATTGTCTTGCTAAAAGGCTTTTGTGTTATAGTATGGTAGCAATGACTTACTAGCTGTGCAGCCCCTTGGTTCTCAAAGGATGAGTCAAGGATCTTTGAGCAGTAAACAACTGGTAAATAAGTGTTTTGGGGGCATGACGCTGTCTAAATGTGATCTTCGGTCCATCATTAATTCTCAGCTTAACCTATCTCATAAGATTGTTGTGAGAATAAGATGGCAGGGAGAAAAGAGCATATACACTATCTTGAACTCCTTGTAGGAAAGGAGGGATAGAAATAATTTTTAAAAAAACAGGTACCATGATTTATTTCTGTTAATGTAGCCAACTAAGGCAAAAAAGAAAATGGGTGCCTTGTGTTTTTCCGTTAAGTGCACTGGCTTTAAAAAAAGCTTTTTGCTTGTGAAGACCATGTTCCCTTCCCTGTTCTTAAGACTGCTTTAAGCGTGAAGCCAAAGGATAGTATGGGTTACAGTGATCCTACAGACAGAGAGCTGGACTGATGATGGGAGACCTGGTTTTAAGTCTTATTTTAGTCCAAGTTGTGGTTTAGGAAAATCATTGCCCTCTCTCAGCTTTAGCTCCCTCCTGTAAAATAATAATCTGTCTCATGTTGTTGTGAGGGATAAAACAGAGATTGTAAATTACTTAAGTACATTAATAATAACCATCGCTTCTCCCAGCTCCTGCCAACCTAGCAGTTAAAAAGCATGTAAATGCGAGTAGGTAAATAGGTACCACCACGGTGGGAAGGTAACGGCATTCCGTGTTTAGTCGTGCTGGCCATGGAAACTGTCTTCGGACAAATGCTGGCTCTACGGCTTGGAAACGGGGATGAGCACCGCCCCCTAGAGTCGGACACGACTGGACTAAATGTCAAGGGGAACCTTAACTTTTACCCTCAAGTCAATTCTGACTTATAGCAATCCTTTTTAGGGTTTTCCAGGTCGACAATACTCAGAAGTGGTCTACTATTCCCTTCTGGGGGCACCCTGGGGCTGTGCAGTTTGCCCAAGGCCATAATCTGTTGAGTTACATTGAGCTAACCAGCCAGTTTCCTATTTTGTATGTTAGGAGCATTATATTAACTGCAGGTCTAGCTGCCAAACTACTTTTTAAAAATTTTTGTCCTAATTATCCTGCATGGAGATGGCTTGAAAGGGGTTTTTAAGGCAATGCCTGAATGCCTGGTACTGTGAAGAAGAACGAGAGAGGGTTTGAAAGCATGCTACTTATGCTAAATTGTCTACTCTGCGGCCTTCTTTTTTCCTTGCTCTCTTTCTCATTCTTTTCCAGGAATACTCCCAACTTCTTTCTGCCTCTGTCTACTTCTTGCTATTTTCAATTATCCCAGTCATTTGGAAGCATTTGTTTCATTGTCTGGTTCTTCCTGGCTAGCGTATGCCATCACTAAACTAACCACTGATTATAAACATCTGCAATACATTCTGAACACTAGAGGGCATTTCTTTGCTATTACTCCGTTTTACCTGCAAGGGGTGGTCCAGCCAACCCTGATAAACTTTGAATAAATATATAGCCCCCTGCCGCAGACGACATCTTCTCAATGCCAACCACATCTTCTTCGGCCAACATAGGAATGTGTGTACCAGCTACAGTCCCGAGCATGAACCCGAAGAAAATGCTGCACATCATTAGTCCCCAAAATTCATAAGCAAAAGGGAAGGCAAAGAGGGCGATGTCTAGCAGAATGACACAGATTAGTTCAATGTAAATTTTTCGGATAGGTTTTTTGTTGAGGGCCCAGCCCGCACTGATTCTGCCAAAGACCTCAGCGATTGCCATTGCCGACAAGATGTAGGCGGAGCGATCCTTGTCAATGCCTAGGCTCATGCTGAGAGGAATTATATAGAGTGAAGGAGCAAAAAATCCCAGAGTGGCAAATAAACCAAAAAGTGCATAGCAAATAAAGCTATAATCTTTCATTACAGAAAAGTCTATGAGTTGGATTTTTGGTTCCTTGTGTGGAATGCTGCTTGCTTCTATGAGCATTTCTGTGTTTTCCTTTGGTTCTTCTGCACTTTTCAGTTCTGATTTGGCATCTCCAGATGTGTTGTGGGGTGAGGTAGTTAATTCTACTCCTGAGTCAAATGAATCTATTGAGGTGCGGGTCTGCTCATTTTCAAGCATGTACTTTGTTTCTTTCTGCTCCTCCACTGGTGATATTTTCACTATTTCCTGTGGTTTGATGATGATGGGTCGCAGCACCGATCCACAGATGACAATTCCCAGCTGCAGCAGCCCAACAAACAAGAGGCTGTATCTCCAGCCGATGTGTTCCTTCATAGCAGTGATAGCTATAGAAAGGAGAAAATAAAATGTATCAATTAGTGGAAGTGCTAATTTGTAGGGCTACAGATGTATAAGACTTAACTGTAAGGGCCACGTTATGCTCAATTTTAGTCATATTGTCTCAGAATAAGTATATAGGACAGGCTTTTTCCACTTAGGCTTAGTTATTTTGATTGAAACTGGCAGTGTGAAGAGTTGGGCCCAAAATGTAAAAAGTTATTGCACAGCGTGGGTTTTGAGCTTTGAAGCTGCTTCTTTGTTCAATGAAATCACATTGCCTTTGCACAGTGTGCAGTTTCCCACATAAGCTGTTCAGAAAGATTAAGGGATGAGGATGGGAGGTATCGACACAACTCTGGCACCGATATTGTGTGGCTTCCCTGGGAGATCACCTGTAGATCCTCTACTTTTCCAATACTACAAATAGCTTATGAAAAAAAAGAGTATATCCCCAGTCGTAACAGGATTAGTCAAATGCTCATGAGCTGTTAAGCAGGCTTCCTCTTAACTTGATATAACTGAGGGCAATAGAGTTACAGGCAAAATATTTTTCCGACTTGGAACAACACATGTCATCTTAATATGTTCAAGTTAGCTTGATGGAATTTGAACAGCCTTTATTGATGCAGTTATCCTTTCAAAAGCCCAGGTTTTGGGGGTTCATAAGTGTGATTTATATATACTAAATAACCTTCCAGATACGTAATGTCTTTGCAACTAGAACTGCTATCAGTGCACTGTGCAAAGATGGTAAAAATAGTGAAAGCGTTTTTCAGTGGTCTGAGTTTACATGTAGAACAACCAAGGGGACAGACGTGATTAGAATGGATGAGACCTCCCCTTTGCAGTATCTCTTCTATGTGTATCAAAATCCATGGATATTCTGTGTAAAAGCTGGGGGTTCCCTTCCTCTGTCAGGCCCTTTTGCAGCAACATCCACACACACATCCCATGGCTTTCTAGCTAACAGGTGTTTCTGGGATTCCCCCCCCGAGAGAGAGGACTTCAGTCCTTAGAGGCTAATGATGGATGGATGACCTTTGGCTCTGGCAAAATAGAATGGTTTCTCAAAATTTGACTTGACATTTTGGCAGATGTTCTGAAGCACTGAATGGCTGTTGAGTGGAGGTGGCAGACAACTGCTCCCTCAACCCACGTCTGTGCCAAAATGTAATGTTCAGTATGTTTGTGATGTACTAAGTTTCAGAATAAAGAGTAGAGACATTTTGGCTTAATGGAGATCATGTTTGTAATGCCTTTTGAAAATGTGTGGCCTCTAGGAATCTGTTTGGAGGAGTGTTGCAGGCCTGTCTTCTGGTGGCACCTTTTTGTTCACTTAGTTACTTTATTATTATTATTATTATTATTAGGCTTAATGGAGATCATGTTTGTAATGCCTTTTGAAAATGTGTGGCCTCTAGGAATCTGTTTGGAGGAGTGTTGCAGGCCTGTCTTCTGGTGGCACCTTTTTGTTCACTTAGTTACTTTATTATTATT